AATTTTATAATAAAGCCTAATTTAAAATTATTAATAAATATTAGACTGAAATGAAAAGTCCTGCAAAGAAACAGCACAATAGACTGACGAGTCCTGAAATTTCTTTAGTAACATTATTCTTTAAAATACCCTGGCCCTTAGGCTGAATCAATGACTATCAGGTGAGAAGATGATAAACATACTACATGAACCCTGATTCCTAAGAGTGAGTCTTTAATTATCTACCACTAGAATAGCTCTGCTCTCTTAAAGTTAACCTAGGAATCAGAAATGATCTTTTACTGAAGAGAGAGAACAGAACCACACAGGAGAAATGTCACTCATTCACCGTGTGCTTATATTCTATAATCCAATAAAGGTGACATATTTGAAAGTCCCAATGATTCACCTTCCTAATTACTAAAGTTTTTATCTTATGAATGACTGTGACCTCAATACTTTATACAATGAGATAGGATGCTCTTATTCTGCTTATACCCTGTGACTTTAGAGTCAATTTTGCAAAGTAGAAAAGATCACTTTCAATAGCATCTGGAAATCATGCAGGGGGCAGAGTATTTTGAAATGAGGCTGTGCAGAAGTACATTATTAAGCAGCTATTTAAATAGTCTATGGAGTTACTGGTCAGCTACATCTAGCTTGTTCTGTTCTTTGTGAAATGATGGTGGAAGACAAGGGAAGAGGAACCCGACATTTAAAAGTTTAATAATTGCAAGGAAATTAATTTCCAGTGTACTGTAAATATCAGCATTTTAACATTTTAAATTGTTATCTGAATGTTCCTTATAAAGCATCTGTTCTTGTTTCATAGATAGAAAATCTTTTATCTCTGAGAAAAGTGATAGGTTTTTTTTGGGGGGGGGTATCTCTTTCTCCTTGCATTGTGTTTGTTTATTCCTAGTTGCCTTTTCCCCCATTTGTTCTCTAACTGGCATCAGAGACTTCCTCTCTGATGTCTGGTAATTGAGAGATAATTTGTCTTTACTCAGATTGAGACTAAAAGGCTACGGAAAGCTTTGAGCATACAGATGGGCTTCTTGTTTTTGAACTCCCATGTACTCCCATCTAGGTGGAATCCCTGATATCACTACCTTTGGGTCTTTACTCTTGGCTGTTAAGATTCCTCAGACAAAACTCTTCCAATCTCTTGCCTGAAGGGGAAGGTTTGGCTGCCAGCAGTCTGGGAAGCAAATGAAAAGAGAGTACTGGGGAACTCTCCGTCCATCACTCAGTAAGCAGTAACTCACCTCCCCCCCGCCCCGCCATTTCCCCCTAGGTCCTGGGTCCAGAGAGTTTCTCCCCTCTCCAGAGAATACATTTCCAGTGTACTGCCAGGATAGGGATGGGGTATCTACCCAGTGGCACAGAGCAGAAGGGATTTAGAGAAACATTTCAGACAGGCCTTTTCATTTATGTACTCTTTCTCCTCCAGAGATAACCTCACAGTGCCAATTCTTGAGACTTGAGAATTCTGTGGTACAAATCAGGTTGGTTTCCATTTTTCCACAGTCAGTTAATAATTTAGTTTTTTTGGGTGTACTATGTCCATTATCACTTCTCCATCTGCTTTCTAGCTTCTAAAATGTTACCATTCTTTTCTTCCTCTTTGTTTTCTCCATCTTTATATGTTCATGCTTCAAAAAAGTTCTCATTATTATAGTTTTGGTGGAGTTTCAAGAGAGCAAAAACCTGTCACCTTAACCTGAAAATCACATAGCCACCTTAATAAGAGGATTTGCAATCTGCCAAAGCCTTCAGAAACTGAAGATGTGTTGGTACATTTAGCCCCAGTTGTATATATTGCCTTATAAAGAACCGAAGGGAATTGTATCTTCTTTGGTTAAATTTAAGCTGGTAATAAAAAATATAATCTGTTAGAAGGCTTACATTTTATAATTAATACTTTCTCAGCTATTAAAATATAGGATAAACTGATGGGACGATCTACATTCATAGCCGGACATACTCATCATATAGTAAGTGTTACTTAAAAATGTAAGCAAAATATTTTAGAGAAATTAATTGACTGTAAAGCTTTATACTTATCGATCCCAAACTGTAAAGTAATGGGAAAATATTGCCTCTTAACTAACTATTCCCCAGACCACAGAACGATTCCAAGTTGATAGTGTTCTTCTCTCCTGTCACTTCTTACCTTAATCGACACTGGCACTTCACTGCCTCCTTACTGTTTCTAAAACAATTTTTAATACTATTCTCTGCTGCCTCTGTGTATAGCAAAAACATTTCCCCTCTGTTATTCTTTTATTACTTCTTTGACTATTTTTCCTTTTCTTGACATTTCTCAGTTTTGATATGACAAGGATGTGACTACTTTCTCTTCTGGAAGGTAAACCTATCAATAATACGCAGTTGTGTGTAATCATGGTTTCATTTTTTAATTTTTGTCATATGTATCTATCATAGGCCAGGCCTTGTTCTACGCATTAGAGATAAAACAATGAACAAAACAAGACCCCTGCTCTGGTACAGCTTGTATTCTAGTGGGGATGACAGACAATAAACAAATATGTTATATGGAATTGGGTGTTAAAAACAAAAACAAGAATGGGGTATAGAGTGACAGAGTGGAGCAGGAAAATGTTATATAAGGTGATCAGGGAAGGCTTCCTTTAAAAGGCAACATTTGAACAGAGACAAAGGAGAGAAACTCTATGAATATCTGTGGCATGAGAACTTATCCCCAAAAGAAAATAACAAGTACAAAGGCCCTGAGGAAAGAGCATGCTTGGCCTGCTGAAGAAACAGCAAAGAGACTGGTGGGGTGGGAGCAGAACAAGCTTTGTTTCTCTCTCAATGTTTACCATTCTGGCCAAGGTTTACTCTTTGCAAGATTTTTTAATTAATTAATTAATTGGCTGCGTTGGGTCTTCATTGCTGTGCGTGCGGGCTTTCTCTAGTTGTGGCGAGCAGGGGCTACTCTTCGTTGTGGTGCACGGGCTTCTCATTGTGGTGGCTTGTCATGTTGCGGCGCACAGGCTCTAGGTGTGCGGGCTTCAGTAGTTGCGGCACATGGGCTCTAGAGCGCAGGCTCAGTAGTTGTGGCCCATAGGCTTAGTTGTTCCACGGCATGTGGGATCCTCCCGGACCAGGGCTCAAACCTGTGTCCCCTGCATTGGCAGGCGGATTCTTAACCACTGTGCCACCAGGGAAGTCCCTCTTTGCAAGATTTTAATATAATCTTTCAGATTTGAACAGATTCAGATTCAGAGGTGGGATTGTTTTAAGTCTACTGGATAAGTGGTAATGTTATTGAATAAGGTAATAATTTGCTGCAATAAGGATTTTGGCTGAATACAGGTTTATAAACAATCTAAATTACAGATATATTGCCTAGTTTTGAGACAGAGAGGGTAGGACAGTGGGAAGATTTAACAGCTAGATCTGGTTTTGAGTCTTGGTTCTATGCTTATTTGCTACAAATGATCCTGAGTCAGAGTTTTAGGCATTAGTACATGTATACTCTTTTACCTTTTTTATTCTAATTTTATAATGTAAAAGCAGTATAGTGGTTATAGTGGTTATGGGGAAAGAATAATGGTTTGGGAGTCAAAAATCCTGACTTAAACACCTTTGCTGCTGCTTATTAAATGTGGAGTCTAGACAAGTCATTTAGAAGCCTGTTTCCTTATCTGTAAACATAAAATAAAAATATCTGGGCTTCCCTGGTGGTGCAGTGGTTGAGAGTCCGCCTGCCGATGCAGGGGACACAGGTTTGTGCCCCGGTCCGGGAGGATCCCACATGCCGCGGAGAGGCTGGGCCCGTGAGCCATGGCCGCTGAGCCTGCACGTCCGGAGCCTGTGCTCCGCAACGGGACAGGCCACAACAGTGAGAGGCCCGCGTACCGCAAAAAAAAAAAAAAAAAAAAAATCTACTTCATAACATTATGAAGATTAAATGACATAATGGCCTATGCATGTGAAAGCCATTTGTATACTATAAAATGTTAAATTAACTTAAGACACATGCATATTTTTAAACTACCTATGGAACTTTCAAACATATTTTACTTAAATTTTTTCATCTAAGTGCTTTCAAAATTTATTTAATTTTACCTTTTGATTTACCTGTTTATTTGTACTTGCATGCAAAATTTATTCTTTGTAGTCAGTTTCCTATTTTGACCCATGATAAATTTTACAGAGTAACTTTTTTTTTAAAAATAAATTTATTTATTTATTTTTGCTGTATTGGGTCTTCATTTCTGTGCAAGGGCTTTCTCTAGTTGTGGCAAGCGGGGGCCACTCTTCATGGCGGTGCGCGGGCCTCTCACTATCACGGCCTCTCTTGTTGCGGAGCACAGGCTCCAGACGCGCAGGCTCAGTAGTTGTGGCTCACGGGCCCAGTTGTTCCGCGGCATGTGGGATCCTCCCAGACCAGGGCTCGAACCGGTGTCCCCTGCATTAGCAGGCAGATTCTCAACCACTGCGCCACCAGGGAAGCCCCTAGAGTAACTTTTTATCTTTTAAATTACACAGCAAAATTCAATGGATATGAACAAGTCAACTTGAAATCCTCAAAAAGGATCAAAATGCGGACTTTCATTTTATTTTACTTTTTCTTTATTTCACACAGATGATCATTTTGCAATAGAAAATATGGGTACGTGGAAAAAATTTGAAAGGATAACTAACAATCATTTTATATACTTCAATAACTGTTAATGACTTTTTAGTGGGTTTTTTTTTTGGCCTATTTTTGTCTTTTGAACCCTTATTGCTTAGCTAAATTACAGCATGCTAAACATAAATTTGTAGCCATATATTTATTATCAATATTTGATATATGTTTTGAAGACTATACTAGACAGAGGCTATTTTATTTCAAATATCATATTGCTAGCCATTAGTTAAAAGTGTCTACATGTTGCTGGACAGTAACTGAAAATGTACGTCAAAAAATAATAGCTAAAACCTTTAAAATATCCTCAATGGTCTTCAAAAGTAACTTACAAGAGATTTAATAGAATGGAACTTACTCCATGCCCTGTGCAGTCTGCCGTGCAATATCTATAAGTTTGATCATCTCGAATTTGGTCTCAATGATGTGGAGATGATGATATAGGCTGGAGCCCTCACACCACTGGGTAACAATAGCCAGTTGTGGCTTTGTTGAATAACCCATGAAGAGTAGGATATTCACATGTCGAGTTTTCCTGTAAAAGAAATGTGACAGTAAATAGTAAATGTTGATAAACTTTAGCAAATGTTAAAAAAGAGGGCCGAAGCAGTCTACTTATTAATAAGATGTTGTCAGAAAAAGGTATTTTTAAAAAAGCCAACAGAAGGATAAATTTAGATGAGACTTTAGGAACTGTCTAGTCTAACATCCTACCCTTTTCATAAATATCTTTTTTAGTATACCTCATAGATAGGCAACTAGAGATTCCTTAAATACCTTCAATTATGGGAAGTTTATCACTGAGACTGTAGCCTGTTCCCAATACTCTTTTTCTTTCTTTCTTTTTAAAATTTTTTTGGCTGTACTGCGTGGCATGTGGGATCTTAGTTCCTCAAGCAGGGATTGAACCTGTGCCCCCTGCAGTGGAAGTTTGCAGTCCTAACCACTGGACCACCAGGAAAGTCCCCTCTTTTTTTTCTTTTAAAATGGTTCTAGTATTAGTAAAATTTTAGGTTGAGAAAAAATCATTTTCCTACAACTTCCGCCACTGGATTCCCTGTTCTGCTCTCTGCAATGAAACAAGTAAGTTTATATCCTCTTGAACATAACGGCCTTCTATGGACCCAAATATTCTCAGTTCTGTTGACTATTTTCTCCCTAAGTTACAGTTCCAGAATCCTTCCCACCTAAGTTGTCCTTGCCTGGACATGTTCTAGTTTGTTAATTTTCCTCAAGTTCCAGGGCTTGATATAATCTCTAAATGTGTTCTGATAAGCTTAGAATTTTGAGAGCATTGTCTCCATAAGTGGAAGTATTACTTCTCGTGATCAGAACACTGTATTTCCATTAATTCACTCTAGGATTAATATTTCTATCAGCTGTACTATGTAATATTGCATACCACTTAAAAGAATACAGTTAAAGACAAAATATACTCAGACAAACTTTGTTTTATTCATTTTAAGTAAGTCTGTAAAGCTAACAGTGGCTACCACTGGAAAACACAAGTTGATCAAGATAACTTCTCTGGAAAACGTGATTCACACAAGCTCACCTGAGTACTCCTACTTCATTTTTGAAGGCCTGTAACTGCTGAGGTGTGGGTGCTGTCACATTCAACATTTTCACTGCCACATCACCTAAAAGGTAATTGCCATTCCAAATGTCATTCCAATTTTTAAAATTTAAAAATATAAAAAAACCTAGGGTATTTTCACTAATTACTACGGCCTTAAAACTATACCATTATAAAACTGCAAATAAATTATACCTTAACTTCCTAAACTGCATTAATTTTCTAAGGATAAAAACTAAACTAACAATAATATTCCTATACTAGTATTTCAAAATACCAATCCAAAAAAAACCAGCCAATCTCATTTTTCCCCTGGAAATTTAGTTTAACCAATTAAACACCCATGATATCTTCCTAGTTATTTAACAAAACTAAATTAGACGCATTCACTAACTGAATGTTAAAACTGCAGTAGACAGGCCCAATGCAACTTGGCTGAAATAGAAAACTGCAGACTTCTTTATCAGAGTATTTAACACCTTTTCAAATCCATGGATCACTTGTTGCTTTTTACTTAGGAAAATTATTTAAAAAACACACAAAACCGCATGTGAAACAGGTACAATTCTTACACGTTGCCAAAGGGTGTATAAATTGGTACAACCACTTGAAACACTGTTGGCATTACCTACTACGGACCCCACAATTCTTTCCTAGGTATATACCAACTAACTTGGACACGTGTTCACCAAACGACAGGTACTAAGAATACTCATAGAAGTAGCATCCATAATTGCCCCAAACTGGAAACTATTCAAATGCTCATCACACAGTAGATAGTCATGCTACAGTCACACAATGAACCCTATATAGAGAATGAATAACCTACAACTACATACAATAATATAGATGAATCTTATAAACAATATTGAGTAAAAAGGACCAGATACAAAGGAGTACATCCTGTATCATTTCTGTTTAGGTCAGGACAGTGGTTACCCTTGGGGGCAGAGGGCATAAGGAGGACTTCTAGAGTGCTGGTAATGTTTTGTTTATTGAACAGTGTGTTGACTTTGTGAAATTTTAGCTACTTGTACACTTATGTGTACTTTTTTGCATGTATATTTCAATATAATTAAACTAACTTACTGATTTTTCCTGATTATAAAATAAAGTGCTTATAGTAAAAAAAAAAATCAAACTTAAAATTAAAAAATTAAACATTTTGAAAGCAAAAGGAATAAAATTAAAATTTCCCATAATCATGTCACTCTGAAATGACCATTGTTAACCTATTGATGTATACCCTACTAGGCTTCTATATGTATGCAGTATAAATATTTATAAATACATATGAAAAAGGCAACCTAAAAAGATATATACTAAAATACTGATGGTCATTTAAAAACTTATGTTATATATAATTATATGTAGCTTCATAATATGGGATATTATACGTGCTGCTTTTAAAATATACTACATACACTTTTCCATAAAATAGACATCTACCATACCATTTTAATTTCTATATAATCATATATGGAGGTTATCAATTTATTTATTCCTTCCTCTATTAATGAGCACTTAAGTTATTTCCATTTTTCATGAATATCAAATCTCTAATGAATATACTTGCACACACATCTGTTTGTTCCTGTTCTACAAATGGAACTGTTGGCTCTATATACATATTGCCAAACTGCCCTCCAGAAAATTCATAGCAATTTATGTTTCCACCAGCAGCATTACAATCACAACTCTAAATATAATCAATTTAAAAAAAAACCTTTGTCCATTTGATTATCTTTTCAAAGAAATATAAGTCATTTGAGAGGCAATAATGATTTCTATTTTTTGAATTTGTAATTCTTTCACAACTAGTGAGACTGAACATTTTTTGTATGTTTACTGCCCACTCTTTCCTTTGGTAAGCACTCTTTTTATATGTTTACTTGTGGTTTATAATACAAATAAAATTACCACCAGAAAGACTTATAAAAATAAAAAATCTTGGGGACTAGCTCATCTGGAGGATCAACTTTAAAAATTATTACTGTAGTATAATGATTAAACTTCTGGCTGCTGTGAATCCAGTTTTTATTTCCCATAATTTCTGTTATAAACCTTTGGAGGACTCTTGCATCTGATCAAAATTAGCTTAATGATGCAAACAGTGAATACTCCCTTTGATATATTTTTACAAAAGTTATTATATTCTATTATTATAATTTGTGACAAGGTCACCGTATTACATACCATGCCACTTTCCCTTGTAGACTGTCCCAAATGACCCGGATCCAATTCTTTGTCCCACTGTGATCTGCCCATCAGGAATCTCCCAATCGTCACTTGAATCCCGTCTACCAAGTGTTTTCTTGATAAAAATAGTGCAAAAGTCAAGCCAAGGCAAACAAAAAAGGAAAATCTTATGCTTCACACTAAGTACATTTCCCTATTCCTGAAAGGGACATAAGTTAGGAAGAGAGCAAGAACTTTGGAAAAAACCCCACACTCTAGAGGAATAATAGAAGGATGATTCTTACAATATAGAACTTAAGTTTAAGACCTAAGTCAGTATTAGGGTGGAAACAGTTTATTAAAAAATAAAAATTATTTATTGGGTATGAGCAGAAATGTTACTATTATTAAATTTTATTATTAAAATCAATAAAATAAAGCAGCTTTTTTATCATTTGGAAGACTACTAGGAGCAAGATAAGTGCTATACATTTGTGACTAGTTCTGGCTCCAAAGGCCAAAAAGTTAACATACTATGGCTGTTGATAATCTAATTACTTTCTCCCTGTCAGTGCTAAATTTCCTCATATATCTTATCTGACCCAATCTCTCTCTTAAAAAAATTTATCAACATATACAATCACTTTGGGATGATAAAGGACCCACATATCCAACATATACTATTGCTAAAATAATTAGTTTTTACTACAGATTTAATTTACAGCAGATAGCCAATTTTTCATTAGGGAAGAATGTCCTTTGGTAGATATTTGTATTTCAGACCAACTCTTTAGAACATACATGCCTAATCATGCCTCCTAAAATACTAGCTTACTCTCTTTCCATAGTTTAGAAACAACACTATTCTTGCTCTTCCAAAACTGCCTTTTACTCAATTATATTACAGTTGAGAGCAAAAATCAGTGTTGTGTTTTGTTTTTAAGCAAAAAACTATCAGCTCTTAAATTTATTTGATTATGGGAATTCTGTGTCACATATGGACATATATGCCACTAGATATCATATATCTAAAAGGTGACATTACATTTGGCTATGACTTCTAAGAAGACAGAACTTAGAGGAAAAAAGATATCATATACTCTCACCATTCGATTCCTGTCTTCTGAGGATGAAGATGACTTCCTTTCTCGCTGAGGTCCTGGAGATTTCTGTAATGCTTTCACATTAGTGAGTGAGCCAGGTAATGAGGCAGGGGGCGTGGCAGATAAACCTGTGGTTGATCCTGAGTTAGTGAAAGGAAAAATATATCTATTAAAGGAGGATCAAGTACATTAGCTTATTGGGGGCAGAGGGTAGAGGGAGATTTAGACTTATTTTAAAAATTCAGTATATGTTCTAATACCATTTGGAAAGGACAGGCAAAAAAGGAGCCTCATTTGGTGACTAGCTTTAAATTAAAAAACTACAATTTCTTTTAGTTTTATACTTTTAGCTTTCTGGTCAATTTAATGACCTTTAAAACATCAGATTACAGATATATACTTTGTTTATTGGTGCAGAGTCTAGGAGAAAAATAATCTTTTTAAAATAAGAGATAAACACTAAAAAATACTCCCAAGTTTTTTCTTTGATCAAAAAATAAGAAGCAAAATCAACTTAAAAGCAAATATAAAAAATAAACTTTTAATTATGTTACCTTAACAGCCTATCAATTAAAAAAAAGATAGAAATTCCCCAAATGGAAACATATTCTGATAACGGCCATAATGTTGACATTACCTGGCTCTTTCATATTAGCCACTGAAATTTTTAAAAATCCTATACTATATACTATACTATTTAAGAGTGAGAGATACTGGTCACTTTCATTGGTTCCTGGAGGCTTATTTTGCTACACAAAGATGAAATTCTACCTGCATAACAAAGTTAATGCAAACAAAGCCAAGCAGGTTTCTCAAGACTTTCTGAAAAACCTCTGCCTATAAAATGAGGCCAAGGTAAGTGCTGTGGCCTCTCAGCCAAGTTACTACAAATGGAAAAAGTTTATCAGCCAAACGAGTCCAAGGGGTACACGCTTTGAAAACGGACTCAGCTGGCAGGGTTGCATACCTTTGTGATGGACATTTTTCCAAATGCTGATTGAGCAAAAATCCCAATTCATGTACAGAAAGCACCTGGTTCAGAGGGGTTCAGAGCAATGACTCCTAGTGGGGCCTGAGTATAGCTAAGTAGGACTGAGATGCTAGGTAATGTCTGCACATACAGAACAAAAAGACTTCAATTTTTTAAAAAAGTAGATAACTATTCTCTAGTTAAAAAGTCACTATCTTTCAAAGAACAAGGATCAGAATACTAATGGCAACATTTAAATGTTAAAACTGTGTAGAACTTTTCTCATTACTACACCACATATGTCATCATGTAGAATTTCCATGACCTCACATGCAATTTTCTAAAAGAAAATGGTATCTGGAATGTCTATTAATTAGAGCACAATCCATATTCTGCCTTCCACTGATAATTTTCAACATCATAAAGCCTTAACTGCTCACCCAGGCTTCACAATTCTGATCTACTCAGTGCTGTATTGTATCACTTACTTTAATTACACTACTCAGTACTCTGTAACTTCCAGCCCATTCCATGGATTTTCTGAGAAAGTTGGGCTGAGAGAGCAAAAATCTGAAATGCCACCATTACATTCAGAATAAGTTAAAAGACACTAACTAGGAAAAGCCAGTAAATATAATTCATTAAAAATATTTACAGCAAGATACCCATCTAAATTTTGACTTAAATTTTTAAAAATCAGTTTAACCAGTAATTAAAGGATGGAAAAGATAAAATGGATGAGTGAAATTATACTGCTAACTTTTTCCTCACATGAGGGCATAACTGAAAGTATAAATCCTAATTTTCTGAAGTATGCTAAAATACCCCAAATATATTACAAATCTTCTTTCTTAGTGAATATAACAAGGTTATAACAAGGTTCCCTACCTTTGATATAAAATATACATGTCCTATGTTTTTAAAAAAAGGACACATTTACAGAAGAATAAAGCAAAAAGTCTAGTAAGAACTCATAATAGGGATTTCCACTTTTTTAAAAAACCAAAAAAATTGATAACCATTATTAGCAGCCATCAAGGTTATCAGCTAAATGGATTAAAGTAAAATAAATTCAACTTGAAGAAGCCCCTCCCCACATTATTTACTGTCACCCACCGAGTTTAAGAAATAATCAAGACCAAAAAGTAAGTAATATAACAAAAAACAAGATGGAAATCTCAACTCAGAATTTTCTTGCTTTTAAAAATTTATGACAGACAGCATACAGAAAGCTTGTGGTAGTGAGTATGTGTGAGAAGCACATTCAGAGCATTCCAGCCAGGCCAAGCAGAAATTTAGTACTGAAAACTCTCACACTTACAAACACACACTGTGAGGGTGAGGCACAAACAGTATCTGTTGTTTATATTTAGTTTGCTTTGGGTGAAAACAAGAAAGAAGAGCCCAACTACCTCTGAACACTGGGCCAGGCTCAAAATCAAACACTATTTCACTGGGGACAGAATGTAGGAGGGGACTGGGAGTCCGGGATTGGTATTTCCGAAGACAGCGCATCAGCTGGTTCAAAGGGGCTGTTAGAAGAAAAAGAGAGGGGCAGGCAAACACAGGAAGACAGACACACAGAAGAAATGAAAGAAGTCACGGGGAATAAATGAGTTGAAGCCTGCTTCACAAAATAATTCTGGATGTCTAAAAAATCTGCTTATTTTCATAAAATTCCAATGATTCTTTATAAAGTGATTCACAAAAAGGATAAGAAATGGCATTTGATTTTTGGTACTAAGCAGGCAATTTTTATGACTAAGTTAACTCTGTGATGCTAACATGATGGCAACATTTAAATGCTGGATGTATTGGGCAAAATTATCAAAAGCCACAGCTATTAAGACATATGAAAGTCATACTGGCAGCAACATTAATTGGTGGGTTCATGGAACAACAAACAGGAAAAAAAAAAAACTTTTATAACTATGTGCTATAGTAAATACTAAGTCCAGAGTACATAATGCAGGCTTATTATTTTGGTAGGTCCACAGGTATATATAAATATTACAACAAAAGATGGTTTACTCAATGTTTATTCAACATAAAGTATCTTTGAGTCTGGGCTTAGATATTTTGAATATAAAGCAGGTCACAGTGAAGAGACCAACTCTAAACAAGATATGCAGGTATTGTAGGGCTTCCTTATTAAATAGAAGACAGCTGAAGAGGTAAGCATAAAGGACCACCTGGAAGAAAACGTCAAGACAGTTTCAAACACCATCTCTTAGAAAAATCTTATGGGAGTAAAATCTTATTTAAAAAGTATTTTCTAAAGTAATGTTTTGCTATGCTCCCAATTTTCACTGTGTGCTAGAGTGAACATCTGATGAAAATTCTGTAAGAAATCTCAATTCAGTTTCTCATTTGCTTATTTTATTTACTGGACTAGTAAAACGGGAACTAGGCTTTTCTATTAGGGGTCCATGCTATAAAGTATATATTCCAAAGCCTTCTAGAAAGCTGAAGGGAAGTGGCTGACAATGTCTAACAAACTGGCAAGTTGTAGCAGGCAACCCCAGGGATTCTCCCCAAGAATGATGTAGGGGAGTCAAGTTTTAACTGGTTGTAAGCTCAATCTTTAAGTATTAGTGGAGATGGTAAGGAATAAAGTGGGTAAAAAAATTAAGGATCTCTCCTCGATAACAACATCTAAAAAACTGTAGATAGTACATTTAAGACTCCCTTTTATGTCCTCTCTTTTTCTCTGGCTATGAATTAGTTAAAATTTTATTAGAGATAAATGATAAATACTACAGAAAAGCAAACAATTTTTGGTTTTTCTCTGCACATTTTTCTCTGTGTCTGTGTTTCATGAAAGAAGCAAATATAAAGGAGACAAGCAGCAAAGCAATTGCATTTTTCCCTGATTTTTTTTTTTAATTGAAATCACCACTTACCTCCATCACTACGAAACCCTTGGTCTCTAATCAAGTCCTACAAATAAATAGTAATGTATATTTAATCAAAGAATATGGTAAGAAAGTAATAAAATTTTATTTTCCATTAAGCATTCACAGAAAGGTTAATTCAAAATAATACCTGCCTTATAAATTACTTCACAAAACAGAAAGAATATGGAATTAGCTAGTGAACATGATAAAATAAAAAATTTGAAGCACTCGCCAACCTAACCCTAGATTGAAGGGATTATTAGTCCTGATGAAATGTTGAAATCCATTTCAGGCCATTCAGAACCAATGGCTGCATTAATTCTTAAAAAAAAATTCTACTGGCACATATTAAGAGCCATAAAATGTTCATACCCTTTGATCCTGTAATTCCACTTCTGGGAATTTTTCCTAAGGAAATAATTCAGAAGAAAAAAATGATATGCACAAAGATGTTTAGTGCAACATTATCCATTATACTAAAAAACCAGAAATTATTTCCCTATTTTAGGCATATTGACATATTGGTTAACTATAGTGTATCAATTTAGTAAGTATTATGTAGCTACTAAAACAATTATGAACCTTGACTCATAAAACATGTTTACAATAAAAAAGAATACAAAATTAAATGTACACTGATACAATTATAAAAATATAAATGTGTAAGGACACACTACAAGGGGAAAAAAAATTTGTCTTTATTATTAAAATACAGCTTTTTACAACAGACAACGTGGGGCAGGGCAGTGGGGGAAGAGCCTACTGGCAATACAGTGCAATTTGGACCCTGACAGACAGAACTTAATCTACCCAGTATAACTTAAATACGAGGTCTCTAAATAAGTCTCTTTGCAAATAGGCAGCTTTTCGTTTATAGGCTAAAACAAAGAGCACATTCTTTACAGATGTATTTCTGTCATGTTCAATGTATTATATAAAGCATTTAACATTTTCTACAGAATAATCAACAAATACTCATATCTCCAAATAAGATGCTAATGTTAGGGGTTGTGTGACTATCAATAAATATAAAAAATCATGGTGGTCTCACTAACTTTGTGTTCTTGAGAGCTTATAATCTAAGTGTAAGAAAGATATACACACATAGAAATTATGTGATATAAGAATAAGGGCTTAAGAAAACAATAAAAAAGGTGCCAAAGTTGCTTAGTTAATTGCCAAATAAATAGCATGGGTGAAAAGATTCTTCATGCTACGTAAGTTCAAAGGATAAATAAATAACTATAGAACTTGGCCATTGGTGAAGCATTTGAAGAAGATGATCTAAGTGTTGGGGTTTGAGGGGCAGACAGGAAAGCAGAAAAGAAAAGCAGAGGAGGACTTCCCTGGTGGTCCAGTGGTTAGGACTCTGCGCTTTCACTGCCGTAGCCCGGGTTCAATCCCTGGTCGGGGAACTAAGATCCTGCAAGCTGAGAGGCGTGGCAAAAAAAAAAAAAAAAAGTCTTCTAGACAACCTACTGCTAATAACCACCATAAACTTACATTTTCCAATCTCAAATATGTTCTTAAAGCTCCTTGACAATCTTTATCTATGTGACCTAGGTTAAATAGGATCTTCTAGTATTCCAATACTGGCTATTTCAAACTTTTTGCCAATCTCCTATGGGGTTCCTTTCTTACTTATATCTCTTCCCTTTCTTAGCATGACAGAGAAAACAGAAGCTATCAAAGAACATTCTGTTCTGCCTCTATATCTACAAACATTTGTATAATAATATTAGCTATAATTTTTGAATTCTTATTTTGTGCCAAGAACAATAAGCATTTTCAAATCACTACAAGGGGTAGACACTATAGGCCTCAAGGTTAAGTCATCTGCCCATGGTCATATTGCCTGTAAAGAGCTGCGGAGCTAGTTATGTTCATCTTTAATTCCTCATAGCGTCTGAGGAACATCACTTCCAAGTTCAAGAAATTTTACTACCTCAGTTATTCTTTCTTGTTATTTTTAACCTCTCTCTTCACTTGCTTCTTCCCCTGAAGATACAAATATGCTCAAGTCTCTGCTTCAATCTATGGCCCTTTCAGCATTCCTTTATAGCCAAGCTTCTCAAAATTGGTACTTAATCCCACATCTTTACCTGGTTTTGCTATCCTCCAATAGTCCTCTAAAACAGCTCTCAATGAAGTAAAAATGACATTGTAATTGCCCAATTCAATAGTCATTTCCAGTCCTTATCTCATTTGAGTCTCAATGGCAACTGACATCAACTACTTAAGCATTCTTGAAGTCCCCTTTTCTCCCTTTAGCTTCTGCAACACTACTTTCTCTTACTTATTTGAAGCTAAAGTTAGGAAGAGAAGCCTAAAATGGAGACAGAGAATGACAGTCTCTGTCTGTATCTCAAATGTTAATGTTTACTGGGGTTGCATGTCTACCCTCTTTTCAGTTTACATATAGTCTTTGAGTAATATCACTTACATCCATGACTTTAACTGACAAAAATAGGCTAATTATTTCTAAATCTGTATCTCTACTCAAGGTCCTTATTTCAACTGCTACTGCACTTCTAAACAAGGAAAGTTCCACAGACATCTTAAAGTCAAGATGTCCAAAATAAAAGTTAACGTTTTCATTTCTACAATCCCTGTTCTTCTTCCTTTGGCATTTCCTATCTTAATGGATAGAATAAATACTATCTATCCACCTAAGCCAGACAACTCTAGGCATTACCTTTTTTTTAAAATTACCATTTATTTATTTTTGGCTGCGTTGAGTCTTCTTTGCTGTGCGCAGGCTTTCTCTAGTTGCGGTGAGAGGGGGCTACTCTTTGTTGCAGTGCACGGGCTTCTCACTGCGGTGGCTTCTCTTGTTGCAGAGCACGGGCGCTAGGTGCGTGGGCTTCAGAAGTTGTGGCACACGGGCTCAGTAGTTCTGACTCATGGGCTCTAGAGCATAGGCTCTGCAGTTGTGGTGCACAGGCTTAGCTGCTCCGCGGCATGCAGGATCTTCCTAGACCAGGGATCGAACCCGTGTCCCCTGCATTGGCAGGTGGATTCTTAACCACTGTGTCACCAGGGAAGTCCCTAGGCATTATCTTTTATTACCTCTCATCTCTTTCACTTCTCTCCTCTACTACTATATAGAACAGTGATTGAGATAAGAATGAAAGGCCAGGTTTTACCCCATTTCAATCATTTATCACCTGTGTGATCTGGGGTAAGTTTCTTGATATCTCTAAATCTAATTTTCTTAACAGTAAAATAAGGAAAATACTACTACTTAACTCACAAGTGTTTGTGAGGAAAGAATAAAAAAATTTATGTAAAGTATCTAGCACATAGTAAGCATTAACAGTAGCCATTTACAGTATCCAATCCTAACAATTGCGCCTATCAAATCTCTCACTAATTCAAAAGAACTTTCTAAGGTAAAGAGCTGATCACTTTCTTTCCCACTCAGTTTATTGGACCCCCTATTACCAACTACTATAGTGACCTCAGAATAATAACATAATGTCTTTCAGTGTGGACTCTACCTACTTAGTTTCATCCTCTACCATTACCCACCCTTTTCCTGAACCCTAAACTCCTACAATACCAACTATTCATTACAACCCACATAAAGGTACTTCTATATTTCTGCACATACCATTTCCTTAACAAATGCCCTTCCTTCTTAAAACCCCCACCAAGTGCACTGAATAAACTCCAACTCCTTCCTATTCATCTTCTACAGTCTGGCTTAAATGTTGTCCTTTCTCTGCTAAACATTACTAGATTTAACCAGGTAGGGTTTATCATCCCCTTCTATAAACTATCACTGTATATTTTGTGTTTATTTATTTATATGGCTGATTCATCCATTTTCATTAGACTGTGACCTCCTTGAGGGCAAAAACTGTGCTAATTCATCTTAATTCCCTATTCTGACACAGTGCCTATACCAGAGTAAATATTAAATCTGGTTTACTGGAATAATAAATGACAAATAATGACTGAAATTGAATGAAATGACTGAAACTGAATGAAATGCTAAAAGGTTTATATTTTTCAATGGGAAGTAAATGAAAGTTTTGGAACAAAGGAACAGATGATGATAGAGGTCTTATAAAAAATTATTCTGATAATAGCAATAAAAATGGAAATGGGCAGAGAGAAATCAATGGCAAGAAATCTATTTAGGAGATTAATGTAATAAGTAGTTCAAGTGAAGAAATATGGGCCCAAATGGTGGTAGTAATAACAAATTTGAGACGTATATCAAAAGGAAAGGTGATACCTTATGACTATTTGCTTATAGGGGAAGATGAAAAAGCAAGATATAAAGATGACACTCCAAATGTTCAAGCCTAAGACAATAGGAGAAACTTAGTAACACTAAGACATAAAGAGAAATAGTCTAAAAGAACGTCAGTTTTGAAAGTAAATACAAAGGTAACAACTTTGAACATACTGACAATAGATCTAACGTAAAAATAAGATTTGATTTCTTATTTCACACAATCTCCTTATTTCCATATTTCCCTCTCCTATTTTTTTTTCCTTTATATTCAGGTCTAGCCAGATAGAAGAAGACCTTATTAGTTGAGAAAAATTGATATTAAGAAAAGGCTACTTTAAATGAACCCAATAAAAATAGAGAAAAAATTTCATAGTAAAATATAGGAAGAAAGTCTGACTTGGGAATGTATCTTGAAAAATGAAATTAAGATTTATAAAAAGTTTATTTTCTTTTACATTCAACAAAACTTTAAGTTATAATTTCAACAGTATGCTAATCCTTAGAATACAGAAAAAATCAAGTTTTCATTGGTAATAATATCAAACTTACGACAGCACAAATTGAAATTCTTAATTTCATATTCATCTTTTACATCACAATCATAATCATTTTTATAAAAATCTTAAAGGACTTCATCAATTCCCTCAAAGCCCTCCATCAATCCTATGATATTTAAATCATTTTCACTTGAAAAGCCTATTCTCTTGTCATCCTTATAGACTTTCTTTTACTGTTAACTGGACTAATTTAATTCTGCTGTACCCTTATTTCTCAATGACTTTATAAGATGTGAGTAGTTCTACCAAGTGACTTTTTCACTGTCTTCATAAAATCCTTAAAATCTTTTTTTTGTTGTCATATTCACAATCAATGTGCTTTATGTTTTCACTGAAATGTTGGATAGTGATGGAAAAGGGCTGGAATGCAAGCTGGTATTAAATGGGGAGGGATATGTGAGTGGAGACTAATATTAAGGGAGTCTGTTAATTAGTGATTATTTTCCTGTTAGGATAATTTTTCCTTCTTTACTCAACCTTATGAGCACTCACATAAGGAATGCCAGTATAATGAGAACCACCCCTGTCCTCTAACATACACATGACCCCTCAGTAACTTCAGTATCCTGCTTACATGGGGAAACAGTTTCAAATTCCTTTTTAAATATAATTACTTTCCAAGGCAAACAAATTTGGTGGCTTTTTTGTTTTCTTGCTTATTACAGACAGAGACTGAGGATAACCCACATTTTTTATCCTAAAGTACAAATTCTGGGAGAAGTGATCCCAACCCCACCACAGCTCAGATAGCAAGGGCTCTTTATTATCTTCAGTAACTCAGTTACTGAGATGATGTATTGATAGCTGAACGAACCAGTCCTTTTGGATTGATCCTGCGTATCTCATCTTTTTTCTCATCTCTTCCTTCTATTTTGTCTATAGCAGGGACTGGCAAAACACAATTGGCTGGCCACCTGCTTTACTCAAGTTTTACTTGAATAAAGCCTCACCTATTTGTTTAAGATGTATTATGGCCGTTTTCACACTACAGTGGCAGAGTTCAACAGCTATCATTAGACATCACATGACACACAAGCCTAAAATATTTACTATGTGACCCTTTAAGTGTTTGTTGATCCCTGGTCTATATTATGGGAAACAGACCTCTGCTTTGTCTTCTAACCCTTTTACTAATACAAATATTTTTTGATGACCTCTTATGTTAGGTGCCAACTAACACCTAATAGTTCCTATGTTAGGAAACTATATTAGGAATGGTTTCTGCTGTCCAGGAGTTAAGGTCAAATCGAAGAAGTGACACTAATGTACATAATTAACTTATAGTGTGTAAGATAAACCGGGAAAGTAAAAAAATTCAAGAGTGACCAGCCCCAGAAGGAGACTAAAATAATTGATTTGTGTAGAGATGCAATCCAATGGTATACTCAAGAAAGTAAAGAAGGTAAAAGGTAGCTTTGCATGAGAAGTACATAAAGTAATGATTAATCCTTAAGGGTTATTTAACTCAAAGTTAAACTTTTAGATATTCAGGTAAAGATTTCAAATTGATCTAAATAGGAAATATGCAAGTGTACTCTTATTTTTTCTTTACCCCAAAATGGTCAAGTGGATTACCTGTTAAATAAATGAAGATAAGACTTTTACAGAGATGGTGTCATAAGGAAAAAAAAAAGAATAACTCTATAATTTGGTGCCAGTTAAATATTTTATGCCATCAGAGAAGCTGAAAGGCTTTCCTGATTTGTAGTTCATGAAAAGTCTATCACTTATAATAACTGTGATAAATGAAAGATGGCACTTATTTCTGATCTATATTATAAATGTAGCAGAAAAAATAAAGAAACACACTTGAATTTTCTAACTTCGAGCACTGCTGGATACTTACATCAATATTGACAGGTTCTATGGTGTTTATATGCACATTTGGAGCTGATGAGGACCGGTCTCGTTGTCCAAACTGATTTCGGTGATCTTCATCTGGTCGGAAAGGCTGTGGAATTGGAATGGATTTTGAAGGAGACGGACTGGTGAGAATTGGGGGCCTGGAAAAATCAAGTGATTGGAAGATAAGATTCAGAGCAACTTTATAGAGATAATAACATAGAAAAATGGATGATATAAAGATTTTCTTCTTTTCGTATTCTCAAATAAAATCTTTACAATAAAGCATTAAAAATCCAGCAGTAATGGCTTTTAAAAGTGTTAGTTTAAAAAACTAATATGTGCTTGCAACCACTGACAAAGCTGCTTTGCTCAAGCAGACACTCCAGGGAGTATCAATGATAAGAACACTGATTCTTATCCAAAAAACTCCAGAGAAATCTACAAATGGCTAAAAATTACCTGTTGTTAATCAGCTGAAGCAACGCTTGTCCTTTAAAGTTATACAAAAATGCTCTAGGTAGGCAGTGACTGAATAATGTCTGCCAATTTTTCTACCTTTGCCATTTCTTGATAGTTGAAGTTACTAAAATGAACTTTTTATGGGAAGTATCAATATTAGGAAATTATAAATCTTTTAAAAACATACATGTGTTTTTCATGACCTAAAAGATATACCTATTGCTTTATACAAGAGTTGAATTAAAATCCTGAACAGTAATAGCAAAAGATCATTTCCAAATTCAAAAGATGATTCTCAGAGTGTCAATCTCTCATATTTTGAAATGTTTACCATGACCAATAATCGATACAAGACACACAGGAAAATAATATATTAAGCATTAAAGTAAATATTTGTAAAAACTGCTTTTTGATGAAACCATCAAAACAGGTGACAGAGTGACCTATTTTGGTACTGTGGATAAATAACAAAGTCTATGATCTCTCACTGCTCCCAAAATGAACCTGGCACTCACGGAGCACATTAAAGTTTTGAGAATAGATTGTAAGCACCTGTGAGAAGTCTGTGCCCCTCAGAAGGAGTATCCTAGGGAGCTAAGAAATGAGTGTCACTTGACTGACGAGGTGTGACTGTCTTAGTGAGCTCCACCAGGACCAATGAATGACTCAGTGCTAACAGCCTCTCTTCAGAGATTGGTTATTGTTGCACCCCATCTTATGCAAACTCTGTAACTAATCAGCATTATCTAGTGGTTAATAAGACAGCCAGAAAGACAATGTTGAGGGAATAAAAAGACATTTTTAAGACGGGAGAGGGTTTAGAGAGGAATGAGAAGAAAATACAGTAGAAAAGGACTAGATAAAGGTTGAAACAGCCAAAGAAGCCAAATAGTGACAAAAAACTTCTAAATAAAATATGTTAATAGAATCTGAACAAGAATCTGTGCTTCTTTGAAGCACACTTTTAAGGGTAGGGAAAGAAATTTTGACTTTATGTAAATGAATCCACTTAGAAGGGAAATAAAAATAATAAAATATTATGTACTTTAAAAAACTGCTATAGGGGCTTCCCTGGTGACGCAGTGGTTGACAGTCTGCCTGCCGATGCAGGGGACACGGGTTCATGCCCCGGTCTGGGAAGATCCACATGCCGCGGAGCAGCTGGGCCCATAAGCCATGGCCGCTGAGCCTGCGCGTCCGGAGCCTGTGCTCCGCAACGGGAGAGGCCACAACAGTGAGAGGCCCGCATACCACAAAAATAAATAAAAAACTGCTATAAACCAACGAGAATTATAGGTAAGGCTGATGGAACTGGTCTCTAAGAAAATTAGCATGTTCTACTGGTCCTTTTTATTCTGATAATTGAGAAATTTTTAGTTTGTGACAAAGCTGTCTTTATTTTTGCTTTAGACAGCCAATAAAAGCCACTGGCAAGGGATATGGGGAGCAGGTAAAAAGAACGTAGAAGTGACAATATTAGCTTTTAAAAAGTTTTGGAAAGTGCACTCACTTTTTAAACACTACTTACAGGTGATTTAAAGTCTCAAAGCAGTAACATACTTTAAGTTAGAACTTAAAAGTGGAAAAAGCCTGAATTTACTACAACTGAATAGGGTAGTCTAATTAACACAACTGATCTGGTGTAGTGACAGCAAGTCATTCTTGAAACCTACTGAATTAAAACTATGACAGCAACATGTAGTATACAATAAGTCAGAAATATGTATGCAAAGGACACTGGTCTTTAAGTTAAGAAAAACAAAAACCTGGATTAAATCTAATGTATTTTATTAGCAAATCTAAAGAAAATGGGTATACTAGAAGATGAAGATATGCTGCTTGTACCTCCCTTCTCCCCTTGCCCCTGTGCCCCCACCATCACCATGCTCCTATGCTCATTCAGATTCTAGAATTCTTTACAGTCCAGTTCAAATCCCACTTTCTTGATTAAATGTTGACTACCCTCTCTCACTATTCTCTCTTCTCCTGTAAACATGAGGATATTTATCACACAGTTTAAAATAATATATCATAAATTGTAGATTATAATTATATACTATTTTAAAATCGTCGGCCATTATCTCATATATTAATGTTACTTTTCTAAATGGAAATCATATACTTCTATATCTGATATTAAAAATAAAGCAATGAGCACAAGGCAGGGACTCTAAATTATCTGTTGCTTGATTTTTTTCAAGGATGGTCCTAAAACAGTCTACATCAGCTTTAACCCTGTGTATCTGTACCAAATGTATGTAAATTAGCTGACTGGTGTGATAAATTACCTGAAAAAAAAAAACCCTTAATTTAACAATCCAAATGTTGGAAAGGTTTATAATTAGCCAAAAGTTCCAAAGAAATCAGCTCAAACAGCATGTCACTGAACAGCAGGAATCAAATCATACCCAATAGAATCGGAGGGGGGTGCAGAAGGGGATGATCCAGACGTAAGGGTAGTCTCTGCTAAGGAGGCCTCCTCCTGTGGTATTGGGTGGTGTTCAAAGAACTTGGAGACAAACAGCAAACTGTGAGGCAAAAAGAAAAACAAAACAAAAACAAACCTAACTTGTGCAAAACCCAGAAGCTTCATATACCAGAATACCTTAAAGAATTAACAAAAATGTCTGAGATCAAATTCCATTTTCAGGAAGGACTGTTAAATTCAATTAGTTGTATTTTTGTCTAAAGGCTTACTGTAAAAAAATTATATTGTACTTTTCAAAGGCAAGCTCAGAATCTAAAACTAATTGCTCTATACAGCAAATTTCTACATAGTAGAGGAGAAAAATCATGCTTTATGGTTAAGGAATTAGAAAATGTATCTACTGCTAAAAATTAGGTTATATCATTATGATATACTTTAAAGTACAGAGTTGAATTCCCTCTACTCAAGTAATCAAAAAAAGTAATAAGATTTTACAAGCAGCAGTAACAACACAAAAAAAGATTAAAATAGACTCAATCTATTGAGAGAGGGAGTAGGGGGAAGAGAGGGACTAGGGGGAAGAGAGGGAGGAAGAGAAGGGGGGAGGGAGAGAGACAGACAGACAGGCACACTAACTTTGAGAGAGAGAGCACTTAATTTACAAAATTGCTGACAGAACCAGATTCCCCAATCTGCAGTCTAAAAATATAATGGTTTATTTAATTGAAACACCCAAAAACCATCTAAAAGTGATTTCTATGGGCAAGGGATCTTTATTAATTAAAAGAGAATATAAAACATAAATGAAATGTACAGCAAACCAGAATTATAATTTGAGAGAGAAGTATTGGCTATACTACATATTACTCTCTAGGCACACTTCAAAAAGTTCCCTGTAACAACTATTCTGTACAGAAAACTTTCACAGACTCTAAGACATACTAGTTTCACATTAAGAAAAGTTAAATGTAAAGTGGAAGACAGAAAAGAAAAATTTTTTGATTACTTACTCAAGTTGGTCATAATTAACACACATCAGTGGAACCTCTGTACTACAACGCTGGTGAAATTTATAACCACATGTTTGACAGCGGAACCCCTGGAAAAGCAGCTTTCGACAGAAGTCACAAAATGCTAAGGTGAAAAAAGTTTTCCGTACCTGCAAAGTAAAACATCGTAGAGGATTTCAAAAACTAGTAAGAATCTTTTTAGAAATCAACTTATTTACTCTTTTTTTTTTCTTGCGGTACGCGGGCCTCTCACTGCTGTGGCCTCTCCTGCTGCGGAGCACAGGCTCCGGATGCGCAGGCTCAGCGACCATGGCTCACGGGCCCAGCCGCCCCGCGGCATGTAGGATCTTCCCGGACCGGGCCATGAACCCGTGTCCCCTGCATCGGCAGGCAGACTCTCAACCACTGCGCCACCAGGGAAGCCCAACTTATTTACTCTTGATTAAAATAACAAATCTTTAATATGCTTACATCATGAGAACTGACTTAAACACTAAGATACTAAAATGAAAACCAGTGGATTCAAGATAACAGATGGACTACATGTATTTTTCTCCCACCCACTAACCAATTAAACTCGTAAGTCAAGAAGATGGAAAATAAATAAAAGACTAACTAATATTAAGCTTTACTACATAAAAGTAAAAGCAGAGATGACAGGAGCAGGAAGAAACAGAGGTGAAAGACAGAATAAGGGTACACTTAAATAACTCTACAAAGAAAGGAGTTAACAGATGCTTACTGGTGTTGACAGAACAAGAAACAATGGCATACTTAAAGTTACAAAGGTATGGAACAGAGGAATCAAAAAACCCACAAAAAACAAAAATGCTTCAGAGGAGGAGCGAAAAGAGGAGGAAGGTTGTAATGTTACAAATAATCTAATTCCCTATGGAACTAGCCATAAGTAAATGTCTAAAACTGATAAAATAAGAAATTGTAGCTTAAAGTTATTATTTAGTAATATGAAAATAATCACAAGAAGAGCTTAAAACAGAAACCATTGAAAGTTAAGAATGATTTCCTCTCAGATAGCCTCATCCACTAGAGGGCAGACAGCAGAAGTAAGAAGAACTACAATCCTGTAGCCTGTGGAACAAAAACCACATTCACAGAAAGACAGACAAGATGAAAAGGCAGAGGGCTATGCACCAGATGAAGGAACAAGATAAGACCCCAGAAAAACAACTAAATGAAGTAGACATAGGCAACCTTCCAGAAAAAGAATTCAGAATGATAGTGAAGATGACCCAGGACCTCAGAAAAAGAATGGAGGTAAAGATTGAGAAGATGTAAAAAATGTTTAACAAAGACGTAGAAGAATTAAAGAACAAACAAACAGAGACGAACAATACAATAACTGAAATGGAAAATACACTAGCAGGAATCAATAGCAGAATAACTGAGGCAGAAGAACGTATAAGTAACCTGGAATACAGAATGGTGGAATTCACTGCTGCAGAACAGAATAAAGAAAAAAGAATGAAAAGAAATGAAGACAGCCTAAGAGACCTCCGGGACAACATTAAACGCAACAACATTCACATTATAAAGGTCCCAGAAGGAGAAGAGAGAGAGAAAGGACCAGAGAAAATATTTGAAGAGATTATAGTCGAAAACTTCCCTAACATGGGAAAGGAAATAGCCACCCAAGTCCATGAAGCACAGCAAGTCCCATACAGGATAAACCCAGGGAGAAACACGCCAAGACACATAGTAATCAAATTGGCAAAAATTAAAGACAAAGAAAAATTATTGAAAGCAGCAAGGGAAAAAAGACAAATAACATACAAGGGAACTCCCACAAGGTTAACAGCTGATTTCTCAGCAGCAACTCTACAAGTCAGAAGGGAGCGGCATGATATACTTAAAATGATGAAAGGGAAGAATCTACAACGAAGATTACTGTACATGGCAAGAATCTCATTCAGATTCGATGGAGAAATCAAAAGCTTTACAGACAAGCAAAAGCTAAGAGAATTCAGCACCACCAAACCAGTTCTACAACAAATGCTAAAGGAACTTCTCTAAGTGGGAAACACAAGAGAAGACAAGGACCTACAAAAACAAACCCAAAACAATTAAGAAAATGGTAATAGGAGCATACATATCAATAAAGACCTGAAACGTGAATGGATTAAATGCTCCAACCAAAAGACACAGGCTTACTGAATGGATACAAAAACAAGACCCATATATGTGCTGTCTACAGGAGACCCACTTCAGAACTAGGAACACATTCAGACTGAAAGTGAGGGGATGGAAAAAGATATTCCATGCAAATGGAAATCAAAAGAAAGCTGGAGTAGCAATAATCATATCAGATAAAATAGACTTTAAAATATAGAATGTTACAATAGACAAGAAAGGACACTAAATAGTGATCAATGGATCAATGCAAGAAGAAGATATAACAATTATAAATATATATGCACCCAACATAAGGGCACCTCAATACATAAGGTAACTGCTAACAGCTATAAAAGAGGAAATCGACAGTAACACAATAATAGTGGGGGACTTTAACACCTCACTTACACCAATGGACAGATCATCCAAAATGACAACTAATAAGGGAACAGAAGCTTTAAATGACACAACAGACCAGATGGATTTAATTAATATTTATAGGACATTCCATCGAAAAACAGCAGATTACACTTTCTTCTCAAGTGAGCAAAGAACATTCTAAAGGGTAGACCACATCTTGGGTCACAAATCAAGCCTTAGTAAATTTAAGAAAATTGAAATCATATCAAGCACCTTTTCTGACTATAACACTACGAGATTAGAAATGAATTACAGGGAAAAAAAAGTAAAAAACACAAACACATGGAGGCTAAACTATACGTTACTAAATAACCAAGAGATCACTGAAGAAATCCAAGAGGAAATCCAAAAATACCTAGAGACAAATGACAATGAAAACACGACAATCCAAAACCTATGGGATGCAGCAAAAGCAGTTCTAAGAGGGAAGTTTACAGTTATACAAGTCTACCTCAAGAAACAAGAAAAATCTCAAATAAACAATCTAACCTTACACCTAAAGGAACTAGAGAAAGAAGAACAAACAAAACCCAAAGTTAGCAGAAGGAAAGAAATCATAAAGGTCAGAGCAGAAATAGATGAAACAGAAACAAAGAAAACAATAGCAAAGATCAATAAAACTAAAAGCTGGTTCTTTGAGAAGATAAACAAAACTGATAAACCATTAGCCAGACTCTTCAAGAAAAAGAGGGAGAGGACTCAAATCAATAAAATTAGAAATGAAAAAGAAGTTACAGCAGACACCGCAGAAATACCAAGCATCCTAAGAGACTACTACAAGCAACGCTATGCCATTAAAATGGACGACCTGGAAGAAATGGACAAATTCTTAGAAAGGTATAACCTTCCAACCTTCCAAGACTGAACCAGGAAGAAATAGAAAATATGAACAGACCAATCACAAGTAATGAAATTGAAACTGTGATTAAAAATCTTCCAACAAACAGAAGCCCAGGACCAGATGGCTTCACAGGTGAATTCTATCAAACATTTAGAGAAGAGCTAACACCCATCCTTCTCAAACTCTTCCAAAAAACTGCAAAGGAATACTCCCAAACTCATTCTATGAGGCCACTATCACCCTGATACCAAAACCAGACAAAGATACTACAAAAAAAGAAAATTACAGACCAATATCACTGATGAATATAGATGCAAAAATCCTCAACAAAATACTAGCAAACAGAACCCAACAACACATTAAAAGGATCATATACCATGATCAAGTGGGATTTATCCCAGGGATGCAAGGATTCTTCAATATATGCAAATCAATCAATGTGATACACCACATTAACAAACTGAAGAATAAAAACCATATGATCATCTCATTAGATGCAGAAAAAGCTTTTGACAAAATTCAACACCCGTTTATGATAAAAACTCTCCAGAAAGTGGGCATAGAGGGAACCTACCTCAACGTAATAAAGGCCATATACCACAAACCCACAGCAAACATCATTCTCAATGGTGAAAAACTGAAAGCATTTCCACTAAGATCAGGAACAAGACAAGGATGTCCACTCTCACCACTATTATTCAGCATAGTTTTGGAAGTCCTAGCCACGGCAATCAGAGAAGAAAAAGAAATAAAAGGAATACAAATTGGAAAAGAAGAAGTAAAACTGTCACTGTTTGCAGATGACATGATACTATACATAGAGAATCCTAAAGATGCCATCAGAAAACTAATACAGCTATTCAATGAATTTGGTAAAGTTGCAGGATACAAAATTAATGTACAGAAATCTCTTGCATTCCTGTACACTAATGATGAAAAATCTGAAAGAGAAATTAAGGAAACTCTTCCATTTACCATTGCAACAAAAAGAATAAAATACCTAAGAATAACCCTACCCAGGGAGACAAAAGACCTGTATGCAGAAAACTATAAGACACTCATGAAAGAAATTAAAGATGATACCAACAGATGGAGAGATACACCATGTTCTTGGACTGGAAGAATCAATATTGTGAAAATGACTATACTACCCAAAGCAATCTACAGATTCAATGTAATCCCTATCAAATTACCAATGGCATTTTTTACAGAACCAGAACAAAAAATATTAAAATTTGTATGGAGACACAAAAGACCCTGAATAGCCAAAGCGGTTTTGAGGGAAAAAATGGAGCTGGAGGAATGAGACTCCCTGACTTCAGACTATACTACAAAGCTACAGTAATCAAGACAACACGGTACTGGCACAAAAACAGAAATATAGATCAGTGGAATAGGATAGAAAGCCCAGAGATAAACCCACGCACCTACGGTCAACTAATCTATGACAAAGGAGGCAAGGATATACAATGGAGAAAAGACAGTCTCTTCAATAAGTGGTGCTGGGAAAACTGGACAGCTACATGTAAAAGAATGAAGTCAGAACACTCCCTAACATCATACACAAAAATAAACTCAAAATGGATTAGAGACCTAAATGTAAGACTGGACACTATAAAACTCGTAGAGGAAAAACAGGAAGAACACTCTTTGACATAAATCACAGCAATATCTTTTTTGATCCACCTCCTAGAGTAATGGAAATAAAAACAAAAATAAACAAGTGGGACCTAATAAAAAAAAAAAAAAAAGAATGATTTCCTCTGGAGAGTGGCATTAGAGGCTAACAAGGGATAGGGCAACAGGTGATTTTTTTTGTAAACCCGTCTGCACTATCTTAAAAACTATATACATTTGATTAAAATGTAATATACTTTGATTAAAATGTAAAAAAGAATTTATAAACGAAAAAACTAGTTTATAATTATATGAAAATCAGATCAACCCTACCTGAACTTGCTAACTTAGGACAAGGAAAAGGAAAATCACCTAAAAGAAGGTAAGAACTACTTTTAACAAACTATCAGTTTGTTAGAGGATTAGAAGACCTAAATGGATCTGTGAACATTCCTCTGTGTGAAACTTAAAAGGCAACGTGTAAGAACTCCATGTCAGAAGCCAAACATGGGTCACATAAACAGAACTGTGCCAGAGAAGCTCTATCTTGATAACGAACAAAACCAGAAATTGTTTAAAACTGTTTGGTTTGTATATATAAGAAGCAGAAAACATAAAAAGGATAAACAAATAACAAAATGTTAACAATGGCTATTTGAGAGTGACGAGAGCATGGGTGACTCTATTTTGTCTTTTGTTCTTTGCTGTATATTCTCAATTCATCTCAGTTTTTCAGACAGCATTAATCACACATTACAATAGTAAGAAAAACACATCATGATCCAGGACACACCTGTATTCATATAATAATATTACCCTAACTATACATAATGCATATCAGAATTTTCTAATCCATTCTACTGCATGTAAATGCTTTTCATGATCCACTAAATTGATTTCAACACCCACTTTATCAAACTCTTTTCAATAAACACATATTTAACATGATAAAATGTTATTAAAAATAATACTTCATCAAGAAAATGTTATCTTGGCACATCATTCATTCTGGCTTTTTGAGAACATTTAGATAGTTTTAAGAGTAGCTCTTGTTTTCTTCACCTTTTTGTCTATGTATCACTTTCTAGGGGATATAAAAAAGCAACTGACTGTTTTTAGCTTTGTTCCTTTTCCATTTGTCTCTGGATATAAAAGCAATTAGAAAATCTTTAATATTTATGTGTCTACTATTTACTAAAGCAAGCATCTTTTTATATTGCTAGCATAATCTCTGGAAATTAGAGCACAGAAAAATACAAAATGTATTCACAGGAATCAGCATTTTATAGTCACTTTATCCTTTTTGCTAACTACTCATACTCTCAATCGCCTAATAATCTGCAGACTTTCATGAAGCCCTAATTTCTCTTCCTTCTTTAATCTACTCAGTTGCAGTCTTTCTTCCTGTCACTGACTTATATGTGAAAACTATGTGTAACTGGTTGTTTCTGTATGTAAAGGAAGGGGGAAAAAAGAGAGAAAAGGAAGGAGGGCAGGAGGGAGGAAAACAGAAAGGAGAGAAAAACACCTGAGCAGGAGAAAATGTGGGTATGCATTTGAGCATAAATTGAGTAACTGACATATACCTCTATCTGTGAATATACCTTTGTCAATAAAGGTGGGTACAGGAAGGTATATCTTTTCTTTTGGGCCACAAATTATGCTTATTTTGGAATTCAAGACATGGATGGTAAACTCGTGGGGGCCATAGAACAGGTAATTTGCACGCATTAATTTGTAAGGTGTGGGGCTGAGGGAAGACATTAACTTTAGTGCCTATAGAAAATGGGAAGGTCTGGACACATAGCATCTGTTTTTAATCTTGTTTCTCTACCTTCCCTGCCCCCTGCCAGTTCCCAAGGATTCCTGGGATGCACGTATATACTGAAGGAATCGCTTTTATAACAGACTATGAAACCAGGAGGCATAATCAGCCTTCCTCCAGTAGTCAACAAAAACCAGCCCAGAGAAGCAGAGAGAGGATTTCTTTCCCTTTCTAAGCAGAACACAGGCTTAGTCTTGCCTCTCTATGACACTAAGAGCAATCATTCCAAAACACAAATCTAATCACACTGCTGCCCTGCCTATTAAAATCATTAAATTTCCAATGATTTTAGGGAAAAGTCTGAATCTTTAACATAGCTTACAAGGACTCTCATAAGCTTACTCCACCCATATACACGCTACACTCTAACAGCCCCCTCTCCAACTTTGCATCATCCATTCTGAACTTCTTTCAAAACTGAAAAGGTAACATGCTTTCTTGCTGTTCCCTCTGTCTAGAGTACTCTTGTGGTTTTTTAAAATATTTATTTATTTATTTATGGCTGTTTTGGGTCTTCGTTGCTGCACATGAGCTTTCTCTAGTTGTGGCGAGCGGGGGTTACTCTTCGTTGCAGTGCGCAGGCTTCTCTTGCTGCAGAGTGCGGGCTCAAGAGCACAGGCTCAGTAGTTGTGCACGGGCTTAGCTGCTCCGCAGCATGTGGGATCTTCCTGGACCAGGGCTCAAACCCGTGTCCCCTGTATTGGCAGGCAGATTCTTAACCACTGCGCCACCTGGGAAGTCCCTGTCCAGAGTACTCTTCCCTCATCCATCAGGCCACAGCTTTCATATTTCTTCCTTTGGGAAAACTTCCTGACTCCTCAAAGGCCAGGTTAGGAATCTCTACTCTGTGTATCTATAGCACTTTAAACATACACAGTAATTAAGAGTGCTTATGAAAATTTTTAATTAAATGATCTGTCTCTCTCTACTCTAAGGCAGGGATACTGTTTTCTTATTAATTGTTATATCCTCAGATCAGACAAAATACTGGCAAATGAAAAGATCTCAACAAATAGTAACTGGCAGCTCTCCAACTGTGTTGTGAAGATTTCCATACTCTGCAACTAACCTGCAGTTTGCTTTCATTACCCTCTTGTGGCAAGGACCTTCCTGCACTGCTTAAGGTTAGTAACTTAGATCTTCTTTTACCTCCTCATATCCAATTTCTAATTAAGAAGAATAAGAGTACTTATTTTTAATTCCTAAAAACTTAAATAAAAAATCTTAAGATTTATCCTCTCAAAATTCTCCAGGTTTAAAAAAAAAAGTCAATAGTAGTGAACTCCTTATCTCATCATTATAAAACTATCTGCCACATAGTAAATCTGATTGGCATCAGGTGTATCTTACACTCGTCCAAAAGATACCTTATCTATTGAAGCACAAACCTGATCTCATTATTCACCGCTAATGGAGCCTCCAAAACACTAACACCCCCCAGGAAATCGAAAGAGCCCAGCTGTACTAATCAACAAGGCACAAGGGAAAACACTTGATGCCAAAAGGGTAGCAATAACTATCCATCTAGAAAACTAAACTGTGGTCCAAAGTCCATATATAGAAAAGTAAGAAGTGCATTCCTGCCTTATAGATCACTCTAATCTTGGCTCCTGCCTACTCTTTTAGAGGACAGGTTCTCAAGCTCTGGAACTGTACCCTCTACCTTATCTCTGAGGTAGAGAGGTTCCACTGTTCCAGGCCTCATGCTGGTGACACTTAGCTTAGGCTAGGTTCTGGCAAATGCAAAACCAGATAAAGGGAGAAGTATTGAAGGAGAGCTTTAACATCTATCTTTCTTCAGTCCTCAAGGAAAGCTATTCCACTTCCATTAGTCTATCTTTCAGAAACATTTACACAAGTGTGTCAAGATGTATGCAGAAAGAGTCTATTTACCATATATGTAACAGATTTCTTAAAAACTTAAATGTCTGTTAAGAGGGATGGTTAAATATACTGAATTTATATTCTTATGGACTATTATGCAATCATTATAAAGCTAGGTGTACTGACATGGAAAGATGCCCATGATGCTTCGTTTAACGTAAAAAAAAAAAAAAAAGAAGAATATCATACAAAACATGATTCCATTTTTTAGTTTTAATAAAAGGAAAAAATGGAAAATAATGAAGGAAAGGGAAGGGAGAAAAAAAAGAAAGGAGAAAACTTTGGGTTCACAGACACATGTTTTATATATAGAAAGACTTTGGAAGAATACACAATAATCAATTAACAACTGTTTACCTCTGGTAGGGTACTTTCACGTTTTTACTTGATATACTTTCGTACCACTCAAATTTTTAAGAGTTTTCTTTCAATAATGAGTATCTATTACTTTTTTTTTGAATTTTTTTAATTGAAATATAGTTGATTTACAATGTTGTGTTAGTTTCAGGTGTACAACAAAGTTAGTCAATTATATACATACATATATGTTATTACTTTTTAAATTAAAAATAAAGTATAATGATTAAAACAAAACTCTTTAAATATGTGTTGTTTTTTTAAATAACAGAACTGATTTTCAACTTAGGTAAAATATCAATGTCAAAATTATTCATCCATACTTCATATTCTCTACATAAAAATTCATTCACAAGAACTTGAAGATTTTTGACATTAAAAAAAATATAAAAGTACATACAAAGTTGTGTGTTGTAAGTGGAACATTCTCCAACACTTCTACATGCAATTCCTCTCCAGTAAGCCAGGAAATATCAGTGTCCCAGCCAATTGGTTTCTTCTCTCTGAAAAGTGTAGACACATCCTTTCTTGGTTATCATACCTAAAGATCTTCATAAACCTCATGCTGAAGATATGAAAATTGGTTATTGAGGGGCTAGTAATGGTGAGGGAGTTTTGGCTCCCTGGTCTTCCATCGTTAGAAATTTAAATGGCAATAAATTAATTTTTAAGTTTACCCCAAATAAATGTATCACTCTTGGACAAACAGCAGGGTAAAGAGATGTACTCTTTTCTTCAAGTCAGCTCCAGAAAAGACCTACAACAGCAGAAAATGGATTGTTCCTGGGGTCCAAAAAAAAAAAGAAATCACAGGTACAGATTTACGTACCCATTCAAAGAAAAAGAGTACTCAAGGGACAATATGCCCCAAAAAGGAGACTTTTTTTTTGTTTTAAAAAAACAGGACTCAAAATTGGGGTTGGGGGGCTCATGGCAAAATTTTAGATGCTTTCTGAAAAATAATTCAATATAAAATGTTAATTTTGGTAAGTCTTTTGTGAAACTATGAGTTTATATTAAAAATAAAGGACTGGGAAAGAGTCCATTATTCAAATAAGACACATAAAAAAATAGTTCAAAAATTTTAAGAATCTCAAACTCTAAACAAAGTCATTTGATCAGAGAAACAAACACTATCATCACAAGAAATTATCTAATGTTAACTCCTCAAAGGGCCTACAAGATTTCTTTAGGCTAATTAACTTAGTATTAATATTTTTTTCCTGAAGCTGATTTTCAATACCCTAGGTCTGGGTAAAGATCTTATAGAAAACCCCAAAATTTCATGTCTGAGGTTTTTTTTTCCTTTTTTAAACAAAGTTTCACATCACATACAAACCATACCCATCCTGAATTCTGTAAACAGCACAGCACTCTGGGATTAGACCTCTCATCATCAGTGCTTTCTTTAGGCTGTCCCGGACTGTAACTCCACACCTTGCAGGTACCTATGGTATCATAAACATATGATATGAGGTAAAGGAAATAAATTATATATTTTCCACATCATTGAAAAAACCCAATAATTTACCTTTATAACACCTTTAAAATGTCATATGGATTACTGTGTCAGAAAATTATTTCACTAACTTAATATTAATGGGAAATTATGACTCAAGTATCTATTATTACTCACCAACTTAAATCAAAGCAAAATTAATTTTTAGTTTTTTATTAAAATTACAAAATATCTTAAACATATAAAAGAACAGAAAATACTACAGATCCTTATGTGCTCACTGCTGAGAAATAATAGATGTCAACATTTAAAGCAAAATCAATTTTGATCCAACATTGTTCAAAGCTGAAAACTCTTAATCCTTCAATCATAATGATGGTCCCTAAGAGATGTCTTACTGATCCTAAACATAGCAGAAGAAAATACCTGTCTTAATGTGTATAGTTGATATCTGCTGTTTAGTTGTTTGGCACTCCTATTTCCTCTGGGAATCCACCCCTCCCTAAAAACCACATGGTTCTGGAGAGGCCATCAATCACAAGGGTCACTACTTTTCTGGCTACACATGACATAAGCCGGCTAATCAGTTTCCCATATCCCTAATCCAGGGCTAGATATATGACCCAAACAGCACCAGAGTTCTTTCCTTAACTGACAGATGGACACTGGTTGAGAGAAGTTTCTGTTTCTACTGTAGTTAAAGTGTTCCAAAAGGATAGAAATCTGGAGTCCCTAATGGCCATCTTCCCTAGTACACTCAGAAAACCTGGCTACAGAATGAAGCTAACCTAAGGAGAAGTAGAGATGACATTAGGAGCGGGGAGAAAAGAGGCACTGAAAATAGAGATAAGAATCTTTCTGTATATTTGAAGTTATCTCTATCCTGGCCTTTTCTGCCAGCGACCCATCTCCCCAGATATTAATCCGAATAATTTAAAACTGAAAAAGGACTGACAAACACAGTGTAGACTAAAGTGAAGCAGTGGGAGTTCAGGTTGGTCAGTCTTTATGGGGGGAGGGGAGTGCAGACAGAGGAAATGTTAATAACAAAATTAAAGGTTTCATTCTTTTAAATCACTAAAGTACTCAGCAAACCAAAGGTTTCCAAAGAAATTGGGAAACTTATGCTAGAGGGGGAAAAATGGAGTGAAAATGAATATAAGACAGATGAATCTAAACAGTATATTGAAGGGGAACAATCGAGAAAGCCAAATTAGAACCTAAGATTAGAAAACACAGGAGGCAGATTTTAGCTCAATATAACCGTTAAAACTATCCAGCAAGGGAAAAGTTTACCATGAGGGAGTAGGTTCATCATTGGAAATATTCAAGAGACTGGATTGGTACAGTTGATCCTCTTTATTCATAGACTCTGCATTTGCAAATTTGTTTGTTTGCTAAAATTTATTTGTAACCCCAAAATCAATACTTGCAGTGCTTTTGCAGACAGGCACAGAGGACTGAAAAATTTGAGTTGCTCAAGGCATACTTTCCCAGCTGAGGTTAATCAAGGTGACACTGCCTTCTTTTTCTAGCTCTCATACTGTAGACAAGTGCCAGGTGACTTTTAAGCTAATGGACCCCAGTCCATTCTAGGGGCCAATATACAGAGGCCATCTTTGGCTCATTTATAACAGTAATCCTGCATTTCTCCTAGGAGCAATGGTTCAGTATTCACTAATTCAGTGTTTGCAGGGAATGTATAGAACATAACTATTGCAAATCGTGAGAACTGGCCATACCTTCCAGAAATAATGAACAGAAGGGAAAGCTTACTTTTTCCCTCTGCAACTCATATTCTGCCTACTCTAAACCAAAAACTTCTTGATTGACAACCCTATCTTTAGTTTTAAACCCCATCCAATCTATCCTATCCCCATGTTATCAGTGAAATCTTTCTAAAGAAGGTATTCTTAACATGTGTGCGTGTCAAATACTTCTGAGAACCTGATGAAAGCCTTAGATACTCTCTCTGGAACATAAAATTTCAAGCCCATTATGGACTGCTGAGGAGTCCACTGAACTCAGATTTAGAATCCCATTCTAAGGTATAACCTTACATTTCATTAGTCTTCTCAAAATTTTCCAGTTATTTATAGGACAAAATTCAAATTCCTTAATATGGCATACGAGGTCATCAATGGGTTGGGGCTATCAACCTTTCAGTTCCTTTGGTAATTCCCCTCATGCACTCCTGTAATGCCATCTTCTAATATAGCTATGCTCCCTTATGCTTCTCTGAACAGGTTGATTCCAAGGTGTATATATGTTTCATCAGTAGGCAAAAATTTGGTTTTCCACTCTTATCACCAAGGGAAAGTCACCTATCAGTCCTTCATTCACTTCTGTAGGCTGATTTCTGTTCCTTCATGATACCTGTTCAACAGACTGACACACCAACAGAATAAAACAGAAAGACCAAAGCAGACTCCAACACATAAAGAAAATCAAAATAAAATAAAGGCAGCATCTGAAACAGGATAAAGATGAACTTTTAAATAACTGATGTTGGAACTACTGGAACCAATCTAGGAAAAAAAGGTTCACCCATACTACATACTGTACACTAGGGTAAATTCCAAAAGGATCAAATATTTAAATGTTGAAGGAAGGAGGGGACAAACCATAAAAGAACTGAAAGAAACACATGGCAAGCTCCTTTATAACCTCAAGTGAAGAAGCCTTATAAATCTATGATGCAAAGTCTGGAAACCATAAAAGAAAAATGTTAAATTCACCTACACATAACTAAGAACTTTTTAGATGGCAAAACACACACAACATACTACAGTCAGCCCTCCATATCGTGGGTGCCACATCCGTGGATTCAACCAACTGAGGATCAAAAATATTCAGAAAAAAATTCCAGAAAGTTCCAAAAAAGCAAAACTTAAATTTTCCTACTCTAAGTAACCTAGAGATGATTTAAAGTATACAGGAGTATGTGCATAGGTTATATGCAAATACTATGCCATTTTATATAAGGCACTTGAGCATCTAAGGATTTTGGTATCCTTAGGGGGTCCTGGAACCAATCCCCTGTAGATACTGAGGGATGACTATATAAGCAAAGTCAAAAGACAAATGCAAACTGGGAAAAAAATATTTGCAACTTATATAAGAGGCATATAATCTTCATGATATATAAAGAGCTCCTGAAAAATCGAGATCAGGATCAACGGGACATGAAAGACAGTTCAGGAAAACAAAATATAAACGGCCTTCTAACTTATGAAAAGGTGTTCAACCTCAGAGAAAAGCAAACTCAAACTTGCCAAAATATCTTTCATTTATCACATTGGCAAAAATACAAAAGTTTGACAACATACTCTGTTGATGAGGCTATGGTAAACAGGCATCTCATACACTGCTGATAACAGTGCAAGACTAAGCAAAACCTGTGAAGCAAAATTTGAAAGTTTCTTATCAAAATTACAAATGTAAATTTCTCTTTGATCAAGGAAGCCTACTTTTGGTATACCATAATTTAACTGGTAAACTATAGTACATCTATACAATGGAATCTATAGCTATAAAAAAGAATATTTAAGCATGCTATACGTGGAAATGGAAAATTTCCAGGATAGCCTACATAAACATTAAAAGCAAAATACACAATGATATATACAGTATGATACCTTGTGTGTATGAAGAGGAGTGGAGAAATAAGAATATATCTTTCTATTTTCTTCTTGCTACATGAAGAAACCCAGAAAACACACACACCCACCCAAATAAAAATAGTTACCTAAAAGGTACAGGGGAAACTGGATGTAAAGAGGTAGAGGTGGAAACAAGATTTCCTGATGTAAATACCACATGAAAGAATTACCGGAACAACTCCTACAGAACACCCACTGAACGCTGGCAGAAGACCTCAGACCTCCCAAAAGGCAAGAAACTCCCCACGTACCTGGGTAGGGCAAAAGAAAAAAGGAAAAACAGAAACAAAAGAATAGGGACGGGACCTGCACCAGTGGGAGGGAGCAGTGAAGGAGGAAAGGTTTCCACACACTAGGAAGCCCCTTCGCAGGCAGAGACTGCGGGCGGCGGAGGGGGGAAGCTTCAGAGCCGTGGAGGAGAGCACAGCAACAGGGGTGTGGAAGCCAAAGCGGAGAGATTCCCGCACAGAGGATCGGTGCCGACCAGCACTCAGCAGCCCGAGAGGCTGGTCTGCTCACCCGTCGGGGCGGGCGGGGCTGGGAGCTAAGGCTTGGGCATCGGTCGAGCCCAGGGAGAGGACTGGAGGAATGAACATAGCCTGAAGAGGTTAGTGCGCCACGGCTAGGCTACCTGGGAGGGAGTCCGGGGAAAAGTTTGGACCTGCCAAAGACGCAAGAGACTTTTTCTTCCCTCTTTGTTTCCTGGTGCGCGAGGAGAGGGGATTAAAAGCGCTGCTTAAAGGAGCTCCAGAGATGGGCGCGAGCCGTGGCTACTAACAGCGCGGACCCCAGAGACGGGCATGGGACGCTAAAGCTGCTGCTGCCGCCACCAAGAAGCCTGTGTGCGAGAACAAGTCACTATCCGCACCCCCCTTCCGGGAGCCTGTGCAGCCCGCCACTGCCAGGGTCCCGTGATCCAGGGACAACTTCCCCGGGAGAACGCAGCACGGCACGCCTCAGGCTGGTGCAACGTCATGCCGGCCTCTGCTGCTGCAGGCTCGCCCCGCACTCCATACGCCTCCCTCCCCCCGGCCTGAGTGAGCAGAGTCCCCGAAGCAGCAGCTGCTCCTTTAACCCCGTCCTGTCTCAACGAAGAACAGACGCCCTCCGGCGACCTACACGCAGAGGCGGGGCCAAATCCAAAGCTGAGCCCCGGAAGCTCTGAGAACAAAGAAGAGAAAGGGAAATCTCTCCCAGGAGCCTCAGAAGCAGCGGATTAAAGCTCCACAAACAACTTGATGTACCCTGCATCTGTGGAATACCTGAATAGACAACGAATCATCCCAAATTGAGGAGGTGGACTTTGAGAGCAAGATTTATTATTTTT